TTATCCACAACCATGAGAAATCCCCAAAAAAGAATGGAAAAGAAGAAATTCAACAAATTAGTGAGCTAGAAGAAGTACCATGCTCATAGACGAAGCCGTCGAAGCTAGAGCAGCCTGGCCCACCATTGAGCCACAGAATCACGGGATCCTCTAATGGGCTTCTCTCAGACTGCACAAAGTAGTAATACAAGCTCTTCCCAGTACTCTCATCTATGGTCACATACCTGTGTGATATTTTGCCAGGAAAATTACATTTTTTTTGGTAAAACCAGGTAAATTACATTTGTACACATCGAGTTGTTTAGGATCATCAAATAATCATTATTACTGGGCCTACTGTCAAAAGTATGTGTTCTAAAAGACATTGATTTCCATAATAAGTGCAGCAAATCAATGTCTGTTAAATTATAAATGCATTAATTGTCCGTTACTTTGGTGTGGTGTAAAAACAAAACCTCTTTTGTCTTTATCCACTGAAGCAAAAACACAAACACATAGTAGTATCCCTGTTCTTATAGTAGCATCCCTATTCTTTACCCGCCCATCCACCAAAAAACACACAAGAAAAACCAACAAATCCACAACGAAAAAAGGAAATCAATAAACAAAAAGGGAGTAGGAATTGAATACCCAGCATAGTGCTTTGAAGGGAAAGTGCCACTGAAGCCAGGAACCTGAGTGACCAGTGCACCCTCCGGTGCTGATTTTGTGAGTTGAAAAAACGTCAGAAAGATGCCGACAATTGTGAGGTGAGAAATTAGACTATCTTTAGCCATGTTTAGTTTATAAACAACCGTTTGGGTGCGTACATATATATCACTAATTTCCTACTTTAGCAAAGTACTAGGTAATAAAAATAATGATACTCCCTAAATCCGCGTGGAGGTAAATTTAATCGTTTTCAGGTGAAACATTGATTAATTAATTACTCAGAAGAGAGTGGGGTAATTTGTCGTCGCTTGTAAGTTAAGAACAAGAGATGGTGATGGTGATGGGTAAAATTTGACTTCAGTGTGCAACTTGCCAACTCTGAAGTACTCCGTATCTACGTAAATGTTAATGTGCATAGCTTATGCCTTATAGTACTAGAGATGGTCATTCAAAAAAAAAACTCCGTACTACTAGAGATGGACTGGGATCTGATCGAGATCACGACCGGGCCAGGACTTGGTGGGATCGGGACTAAAAATTTCATGCCCGAAACTGACCCGGGTTTATACCGGGCCGGACCTATACAGTGTCGGGACTGGACCGGGACCGGGTCGGGCCAACCCGTCACAGTCCATCCCTAGCTTATACTCCGTATATCTTTATATTTCTTTTGCATTTTAAAAATTGTTACATGTGCCCTTGACACATTATTAAGGAAAGTTATAGAAATAGAAGTAATTATTTGAAAAATGTAGAAGAGATGATTTTAAATTATGAAAAATGATAAAAGGTAAAAAAGAAGTAAGAATAATTGAGTGTTTCCAAAGGGAATTTAACAAAAAGAAAAGGTGTAACAGTTTTTTAAATACATTTTAAAGGAAATTGTAATAAATTTTAAAATAGAGGGAATATTTATTTGAACTTTTAATAGTAGTAATTTAGATGTAGCACTCCGATCTTTTTAATCCACTTTTTGACCATTTATGTTCCTCAGTCATGTATAAAGTTCCTCAGGCATTGTCACAAATATTGTCTATAATTTATTTCAATCTCTCTACATTTTTTATTTTTCCATACACATCACTTTTTTATATTAAATTAAAATAATACGGAGTATCTTATTTCTATCTCTCTTACGCCACGTAAGATGGGCTTCACTACAATCCGCTTTACCTAAAGATTCCGAGGTTAATAATCATTAAGCAGTATCTTTTCATGTCTTTTATAATTTTGTCATATTTCCCTTTTAAATTGTATTACCTCCGTCCCACTCAACTTTGCCAAGTTGATGTTAGGTGGAAAATTAGAATACTAAAATTTGTGTGGTTGATGTTTATGCAGAAGAGAGAGAAATGAACAGAGCCACAAAAATATTGCTTTAAAAGGAAAGTGACAAGGTCTTTTTAGACAAATAAAAAAGGAAAGTTGGCAAAGTCTAGTGGGACGAAGGGAGTAGTTTCTATTATTTTTCTCTTCTTCATAAATCTCAACACACAATTTTTATTTTATTATTTTCTGTATCAATCAATTTGGCAAAGTTAGAAAGAGCAGAGGAGGTATTATTTTTATCATTCATTTACTATTCATCTAAGTTCACACATACTACCCCTCTACCCTGTGAATCGCGCACCAATTGCGACAACTTATCCAAACAAAGAGTGATAAGCGGCTTCTTTACTTCTTTTCTTCATTATTGCCTGACATAGTGGTACAATGTACACATTACACGTATCTTATTCTCAATCCATAAAGTGGAATTGCTCAACCCAGACGCTCCCACACTCTGACCCAACAGAATGATGGAGTAAGTCACGAAATGATCTCAAACGATTTCTGAGTGAGGTGGTCAGGGCCTGATGTGCACAAGAAGTCACCACATTAGATGAAACTCTCACACTGCTGTTGTCGGGAATTTAAGCTGAGACCTTAATCCAACAAGCTCACCCAGCCACCGTTACATACTCCGTATATCTTATTCTCAAATAGGTATACTGGCAACCTAAGTAAACCGAAAGTCTAAATTCGTGACTTTGTTACCTCTTAAATAAAGTGCAACATGTAAGGTGACTCTTTATGTTTTGATAAAGTTCATGTATCATATAAATAACTTTTTAAACCAGTTAACCAGGTGTACGTTATTTTAGGATAAGCATAGGTTAAGGAGAATGTGAAACTGTGAAACAAAGAAACCAGGGAGCCAAAAGATATGGGGTGATAACGTTGTATACGGTGTTTAGTTATACAATAATAACAATTATTGGTGTACACAAAATTTGTACACATTTGGTATACATTTATACGTAATTGTCTATGTACAGTTGTACGCAGACAATTGTTGCAGGAGTTGCATGTGTACAAAGGCAACTAGAGATTATGCACATTGTCTATGCACACATACAATTACATACTCCCTCCGTCCTGCAATAAACTTCACACTTTGACTTCACGCAGATTAAGAAAATAAATTTGACTTTACTGTGGAGTGCACTGTTTTGCACTGTTCAAACACTGTTTGGACACTGTTTAGCACTATTTGACATTGTTTTGATGTAGATAATTTGTCAAATATGAAAAGTTTTGAAATGTGAAGTTAATTTCAAGACTGCCCAAAAAGGAAAGTGTGAAATTTATTGTAGGACGGAGGGAGTACAAATGTGTGTCAAGTGTACAAATTTAGTGTACAAATAGTTTAAGGGTTTAATGCACAAGAACCGTTTGTGATATCATTAATAGGCATGCTATCCCTATGTGTTTAGAAAAATGCACAAAATCCCCTTATGTTTTAAAAAATGTGGCACCAACTCCCTCAAAATGAGCACTTGACCGGAGTGACATACACGCGCCTGATGATGCACAAAGAATTGTTTGATTGTCATTTCAACTTTTGGGGTTTAATGCACCAAACCCCCCTGTGATTTGGAAATTCGGCGCATTAGCCCCTGTGATTTAAAAAATGCGTCAAACCCCCATGTGTTTTAATTAATCATGCACAGAACCCCCTTTATGAATAAATTTAATGATTTGAAAATCACTTTTCCTAATATTTTGATTAAATATGCAAATAAATATGTCAAAATCTCTTAATCATACAAAAATGTTAATCATTTTTCTTTTATTTGACAATTGAATTTGTTCACATAAGGGATTTGGCGCATGATTAATTAAAACACAGGGGGGTTTGACGCATTTTTTAAATCACGGGGGGCTAATGCGCCGAATTTCCAAATCACAGGGGGCTTTGGTGCATTAAACCCCAACTTTTGAAATGAAATTTTCCATCTCCACCTATATATGAAAAATTACTTTTATCAATTTTCAGTAGCTATTAATTTTTATGCAATCATTCATTCAGTTTTATCAAAAAAATGTGCACGACTATGTTTTTCCATTCAAGTTTTTATACGAATAGGTTTTTCACGACAAATTTTTTAAATAGTTTAAATAGCACGAATACATTATTTTACTATGGGATTATATGTTGTATTCCGTTTTCGCTTCATTATGGTTTTCATCCCATCATGATTTTGCATAATAAGGAATTTAATGAGACAATTGATATTCATGAATAACTACAAGATGATTATTTGTTAAGATTTCATCCTAAAAAATCAACCTGATAGAAAAAGCAGTTCATGTCTTAATATAACACTTTATTACTTCCAAATTTTCTGGTGTGTGATTTTAACATTATTCAAGAAGTGTTAAAAATAAGTCAATTAGTCATATTTTACTATTCATGATTAGGAAATTGTTATTATTATCATTATTAAAATAACAAGGAAATCAAAATTATGATTTCAAGAAGATAATGTTGTGGTTCATGTAATTATCTTCTAATATAAAGGAGCTTAAATTTTGTCCTATAAACAAAAGCCTTTTCCTCAGTGGCGGAGCCACCCTTTAACCAGTGGTGTCAATTGACACCACTGGAATTTTTTTCCCATATGTTGGTATATAAAAAAAAATAAAAATTTAAAATTGACACCACTGAAAAATAAAAATTCTCTATATAGGTATAGATAATATTTAATAAATTATATAGACACCATCCAACATTTAAAAAATGGGGGTCAATTTAAAAAATTTAAAAGTTGGAACACCAAATTGAAAAGTCAGTAAAGGAGAATTGAAAAGTTTGTGTCCAAATCGTTGATTGAACTCCAACTCCCGCTGCAAAAAAAAAATATTGAACGCCGTAAGTCACAATCCCAATTCCCAAATCGCTGAAATCAGAAACCCTCGGTCACAGTCTGTGCCCAATGGGATATTCTCTTTGGTGGAGTTTCTTCTTTTTGTGAAAAGAATAAAATTTCAATTCCAAGTATGAATGATTTTTATGTACCTCATAGGAGAGTCCGTCGCAAAGTTATCCAAATCACAAACTTACATCGTTACAAAGTGGACTTGTTCTATGTTGTGGTGGATAGACAACGCGAGGAGTTGAACAATCGATTCACGGGGATTTCTACAGAATTGGTTCTTTGTGTGGCTTGCCTTAGTCCTAAAGACACTTTTTCATCTTTTGACAAGGACAAGTTGATTCGCATGGCTCGATTATATCCTTTTGACTTTTCAATGATAGATGTTCTTGCTCTTGACAGTCAACTTGAAACTTTAATTCTTGATGTGTGCTCCAACTCTGCATTTATAGATATTACAGAAGTTGGTTCTCTTGCTCAAAAATCGGTGGAGACAAAGAAACATATTGTGTATCCATTAGTTTTTTACTTGTGAAATTAGCTTTGCTTTTACCAGTGGCCACCACAACTGTGGAAAGAGCTTTCTCAGCCATGAAGTTCGTGAAGAACAGGTTGCGCAATCGAAAGGGGGATGCTATGATGAATGATGCCTTAGTTATTTTTGTTGAAAAAGATATATTCAAAAGTGTTGACAAAGAAAAAATTGTACAACGTTTTCAAAATATGAAAACGTGTCGTGGACAGTTGTGAATTAGTACTTTAATTTTACCAATGACAGTATTTGCTTTTTTGCTTTATATATGTACATATTATTATATAATATTGTTTTGCTAAATTGACACCACTGACACGAACTCCTGGCTCCGCCACTGCTTCTCCTTATCTAGTTATCTTGTAAATTGCAATTCTCAAGTGGAGAATAACAACTCTTTTATAGAGTATTATTGATATATATCGCTGTTCAAAAAATCGCCTAGGCGGCCTAGTCGGCCCTAACCGTAGAGGCCTAGTCGGCCTAGTCGGCCAAAAAATCGGCCTAGTCGGCTGACTAGGCGCCCCTCAACCGCCCGACTAGCGCCTAGCGAGTTTTAGAACAATGATATATATAATTAATCACTTTCTATTCTCGGTTAGTTTGCCTCTATTTTAAAATACATAACAATAAAATAAATCACCAACGCCATAATCATGCGACTGCAGTTAATCCGGCCAAACGTAATTATGCGGATAAAAAATTGTGTAATTCAAAACAAATTTTTTAAATTAATTAATACGGAGTATTGTAGTTTTGATTTCAATTAAGTGCAAAGTTGGTTGCATATGAGAAAAGTTTAAATGTAAAAATATGTTTAAACTTTAATTTCTAATGTAACGTATATATATAAAGGTAAAATAATTAATTTTTAATTATGACTCATTTGGTAACACTGTAATTGGTTAAATTTGTTGATTTCGCTAAAATGATTAAGTTCTAGCTAAAACGATTGAATTGGACGAAATTTATGAATTATGGGAAAAAATAGCAATATATTCTACTAATAAAGTAAAAATTATATGAAAAATAGTTAAAATTGTCTTTTGCAGTAACTTCATGCAATTATGTCAGAGAAGTAACTTCAACCTTACTTATTTTGATTATTACACAATTAAGCATGCGAATTGACACATAAAATTGATAACTCGAAGACAAGGATTACTACTTACTAAACACGTCAATATAGCATAAACATATTACGTATTAAATATTTAATATATATGATGCCAACATTTGATAGGGAGTATTATAGAGGTAATTTTTATAAATATAAAAATGAAAAAATAGTCATTTGAATGCTGAAATGACAAACAACAAGATATAGATCTTTACACTTCAGGCACGTGTAAGGCACTACTGGTAAGTGCTCTATTTTGAAGGGTTTGTTGCTACATTTATCACAAGGGATTCCATGCATTTTTCAAAACACAGAACACACCTATTAATGATATCACAAAGGGATTCTATGCATTAACCCCAATAGTTTAATATATTTACAGCCTTACAGGTTATCCCAAATAAAAGTTAGTGAACCGAAGCACCAAACAAGATAAACGCAAATTCATCTATGTAATATAACATTTTCTTAAGTTTTAATAATCCTGTGGTGCATTCTGCGTAACTGGGATATACAAAACTGGTACAGCATTATTCATCAACACTGGCATGACTAATGTACAATGGTGAATCACAAAATCTGGGATATATTTCTCACAGATTCAGAATATACAAAACCCAAAAACAAGTTAGACGATCCTTTGGTTCGTGCTTCAACAGTCAAGACAGTTTGTTTGTATGTTCACCACCTCAGTAACAAAGTTTCAATTATTGATGCAACAATCGCAATTACCACTGTTTTCACTGTTCTTGGAAATGTTGGTGCGCCCTTGGAGAAATTTATTCTCCTTGCTTGGTCTCTGCAAACAAGAAAAGCAGGTTGATCAATGTTGAAGTTTGTGCTTGTTCGGAGTTCACCAGATTAAAACACTTTGTTTGAGCTTATCACTATATCAAAAAATAAATTGAAAGGTACTCACCTCTGTAGTGATGATAGCAAACCACAATAAATTGTATTGTCTGGCAAAGGAAGCTCAGTTTTGTCCGCGATTTCCGGATTCACAACACTAACATAAACTTCTTGGCCAAGATACCAGGAGTCAAGATTCTGTGCACGTAAATTCCAGATACCAGCATTGTCTAGAAACACTAATACAGCTGTCCAAGCTCCTGGGAACACCTACATTCACACATCAAATAGAAAATTATCAATCTTTCAGAAAATATTATCATCACACCATAGTTCAAATAAGTCATTATCTTCTTAAGCAGATGGATAGCTTCAAAAGATAACCTGGGTAGTGCATCGAGCCACGCCATCCCATTTATTGTATGTGCTTCTGCTATTTTCGTTCCACAAACCATAATCCATCCTGCCATTCAAACAAGACATAAAACTTAGTAGAGAAGATGCGTATTTACTTACAACACATGACTACATGAGTATACACAATAAAAAAAATTATTAAAAGTATAATTGGAACTCAGGAATATGATAAGGAAAAGGGAAATTACTTAGTATATAATATTCCTTATAATAGTATACCTAATACTTTTTCAAGTTTACACGTCAGAATTTTCACCAAATACGGGGTCCTGATTTCTGTGTGTGCATGTACTGAATTGCGAGTTCTTAATAATTAAAAAAATAAGTTATGAGATATTCATTTGCAGATGTTGTAGACAATCTGCAAGGCTCTTGCATATGTTTCTTATTAATGTTTTTTTAATATAAGATTTTTTAATCATTTATTTAATCGATCAATAAAAGTTTTTTAATTAATTCAGCGATTTCATCAGCACCAAGTATAATTTGAGCAATTCCCATCCTACCAAACAGGTTCTTAATTATTTTGGCTTGTTCCATGAAGCTTAAAAATTAGTCAATTCTTGTAAAACGTACCCAACAACAAAAAAGGCATAACCATCAAGATGGTAGCTTTGAACGGTTGTGTCATTGTTTTGGAATATGATTTCCACAAACGCCTTGTAACTACCATTAATCACAGACGTATCAACTTTAGCAGGTCGGTCCATGAATCTATTCGGAAAATCAAGCTTGAAAACACCCAAGACATTGAATTGCTCTGCAAGCTTCAAAGGGGTTGTAGGAGCCGAGTATGAAATCCCATTAAGTGTAGTGCGCCGCTTCCCATCTATAACCTCTGCGGGCCGATTTACAATGACATAAACATCAGTGACGGTGATCTCCCCATATTTGAAGGAGCCTTGTGGATTAGGGCGGGCTGCACTAGCTGATACATTCCATCTCACGGACCTCGCTTGCATCATTGAGAAATACTTGTCGTTTTCCCCTAGCAGGTCGGGAAGTGGACCAGCAGCAGGCCCTTGAGAGTTTGAGTAGTGTAATATGGCAACTCCCACGGACTTCGTCCAAATAGATGAGTTTACAAAGCGTGGAGTGGCAAGTATGTAATAATCACTGATAGGGTTTTGATCCATCGTGACCAAAAATGAGTATGATTGACCGACATGGATATCCATGCTCGTATAGTTCTGTTGCACTGTGTATGATCCTTCGGTCTCAATAAGAAGTAAATTATGGTTTTGGATTCTGAAATTTAGGCTGGTAGATATCCCCACATTGTGTACCCGCAAGCGGTATGTTTTACCTGTAAATGCCCCCCAAGGAAACACTTCACACATACTGCAAAAAAATATCAGGCGTTTGGAGTAACTTCAAAATTATCAAGGAATGACTTGTATAAGGATACCAGTGCAACTTTGAGTGATGATGAAACAAATGACATATGATCTTACGTATTTGGTCTTTATTCCATCATTCAAAAGGGCACTTTTGTCATCACACAAGTTACTCCTTGATTATGTCAAAGTAAGTTTAAACATCATCCTCTTTATGGCAGAGAGGTGATACCCCTGATTAGTATCAATGCAGATGGCGAAGTTACCTGGCTCAACATTGACCATAAGATAATGAATACCCCCGGCTACCAACCCATTATCATACGAGTACGGACCGAACCCATTAAACAGCACACCATCAGGTGATCCAAGCTGGGCACCATTTTCAAGATCTTTTCTCATTTCCTGTCATGCAAAGTTTATTATTCAAAAATGGGGAGAGAAGACTTCTACTTCAAAACCTATACGTATACGGACGTAACGGACCTTATGGCCTTTAATGTACCAATCACTAATGAATAAGGTGATATCTCCATCTGGCAACACGAATGGTAAGGAGATAACGTCTCTATTGTTTATAATGATGCCCCCATAACCACCTGCTGCTCTTTGAAAATTCAATGAAGGGAAATAGAAGAAACTACCAATCTGGTCCTTGACTTGGAACTGGTAAGTCCAATTCCATCCAGCAGGAATGGGGCAATTCGTGCCAGAGACACCATCTTGCCAAGAGCTCCTCCTCTGCTGTATACCATTCCTATATATGGTTGATGACCGCTCAGTATATTTATGGAGTTATGGCTTGTTGTGATTATTATAACAGCCTATATTTACTTGAACCAAGTTGTTATACCATGTGAGAAGCAGAGGCTCATCGAGATTGTTTTTGACATTCACCACAACATTCCAGTTGGTAGTGACATTCAGAATGGGTCCAGGGAACTGCCCATTCACCCCAATTACCTAAAAAAGATTAATTTCAATGAACTTGCACCTCAAAGATTTCGATCAATAGTCATCATCAGATATATGAGAATGCATTGAACTATTGGAACTGCTTGGGTTTTTAAAAAAGATTGTACTAGAGGAAAGGGGCCATGTTAAGCACACATACGGGTTCAGTACCCATTCCCATCTTCTTGTGATACTACCCAGAACCTCACTTGGGCACTTCTTACGCGCACACACACATCAAATTATGACACTAATCAGTGGAGGAAACATTTTGTTCAAGGGTATTCATGTACAAAATTAGCGGAATAATATAATGTACTTTATTTATGTAGTATTTCTTTCTTTTAACTTTATTCACGAGAATTTTGTTGTTAGAAAAAAAGTTGGTGCTGGAGCAATTCGAACAGTTTATGTGCTAGATCAGCCACTCACACTAATACACTACAACCGAACCCTGTACTGGTTTTCTCATACCAGAATTGGATTAAAGGTTCGGGTCGGGTAATCCAAATAACCATCCCACTGAGCAACATAACTTTAAAGTATGCTGTGTGCCTATGAAGTTCAAATCTTGTTAAGAACAACGCTAGTTTACTTAATAGAAGTTAAATTAAAGATCTGAT